CCCGGGTGATTGGCTGGGTTCTTCTTTGGTTGCCCTGCACAGGAGAACGGAGCTGGAAAGCAGGTTAGTGGGGTGGGGAGGGAAGGGGATTTTGCAGTATCCTTCCCCTACCACGCCCACCAAGCACTCCATGCCCACAGAACCGGTAGTAAAAAAATTTGAATCCCACCACTGGCATGTTCCTTTATTAGACACAGTTTAGCTCAAGTGTTTCTCAACCGTGGCAACTTTTAAGATGGCTGGACTTCAACTCCCAGAATTCCCCAGCTGGCATGAAAGCCACATAGGTGTCTTTGGGCCAGTCACTCCCTCTCAGCCCTATCTACCTTAGAGGGTTTTTGTTGTGGAGAAAATGGGAGACTGCAATATTAGGTATTCCAAATAAATATTTAAAATAGATATTTGCAGGATAAAAACAAAACAACGGCTGTTGCCAATGTCTACGGAGATTCTCAGTCAATCAGATCATGGTTGTCCCAAAGGGGCTTTTTCAAAACGCAACAGGACTTCCTTTGTTTGTTTGTTTGTTTTCCTTGAAGACATTTCGCTCCTCATCCAAGAAGCTTCTTCAGAACTGAAGAAGCTTCTCGGATGAGAAGCGAAACATCTTCCTCAAGGAAAAAACATAATCCGGTTGCCTTTTGGGGAAAAAAAAGAAAACCACCTTTGAGAACGGTGTGCCGATAAAACTTCATAGGTATGTTTGCAAAGTCGCAAGGCCTCGATCTCAACTTAGAAAGGATTTCCCCCAATATATTCTTTTTTTTAAAAAGAAAAAAAATTACAGACCTGCGCTGAAAAATTCAGAGAAGCCTAAATGTCACAGGAAGGCTGTCTTCCGGGTTTTGTTTTGCTTTTTAATTTAAAAAACAAACAAACATACACTCACACTCACACATACACACAGAAAGAAACTGAGAATCTCTCCTGAAAATACCACCGGATTCCTTTTCGCCTGTGGTCCTACCGAGTATTTTAAACGGTGACACGTGTGTGTGGGAGGTCAGCCGGTCGGCTGAGTGGACAGGCAGATAAAGGGCAGGAGGATCTGAATTACCAGCTGTGGTGCTCAGGAAGACACAAATTGCACACTCCCTTCCCAAAATTACAGGGGGCTGCTTTGGGGGGGGGGGGGGGGGAGGGGGGGGGGGGGGAGAAAAGAAAGAAACCCACAGGGAGTTTCATTGCAGCATGCGAAATGGGCGTTAATGGGATCCTTTTAAAAATAGAGAATTTTTTTTCAACTGAGAAAGGAGAAGAGAACTTGGGTTTGGGTTTTTTGTTTTTTTTCCCCCTCACCAAACTCAGGAAGAAAAAAAAACACAATAATTGTCCCTGGCAAAGAGGCACCGCCACTCTCAGCTTGCCCGGGCGTGGAGGTTCTCTTCCTTTGGCTCCGTCCTTCAAAGGAGCAGGGAGGAGAAAGCCTGGCCCCAAAAGAGACAATGCGTCCTTGTGTCTTTCGCTGCTGATTCATCCTCCTCACCGCAACCCACTTCGGGCGGAGAGCAGCTGCGATTAGAAGTGCTGCCTCAGCAAAGGAAGAAGCTATTTCAGAAAACCCAGGGCCTGTGTGGGTTTGCATGCCGTGCAGGAGGCCTGGCTGTCCAACGCGGCTGCTCCTCCTCGGCCAGTCGATACAATGGACGGGGCAGCTTCCATTTTCTTGCTAAGAAATGCCAGCGCCAAGGAATGCAGGGTAGCGGGAGTTGGAAGGGATCTTAGAGGTCTTCTAGTCCAGCCTCCTTCTTGAGAAGGAGACCCCCATACCATTTCAGACATGTGGTTGTCCAACCTCTTCTTAAAAACCTCCTGTCGTGTCCCTGGTGGAGGCTGACTCTGAGGGAGTGGAGATGTGGCTCCGGAGGTTGTGGAGGAGGCTGGGGAAGGGCAGAGGCCGGCTGGGCAGTCAGAGGAGGACCCAGGCCCATCCCCTCTCCATCCTAGGGCACGCAGGGAGGAGAGGATAAGGGAGAGGTGTGGTCTACTCGGGAGGAGAGGGCCTTGATCCTCTTCATGGGCTGCAGCTGGGACAACTGAATAAGATACAGACATGTGTACGGGCGAACGCTGGAAACAAAGCACGGGAATATCTCTAGTTTATGGTTCCTCTCTTAAGTTTAGCATCCTTCCCAGTGTGTTATCTGTGGACGTCCTCCAGCCCTTATTTTGCCTGGTTTGTGTTGCTTTTTTCCTTCTTCTTTTAACTGTTGTGGGAGGTTTTTTTTGTCTTCCGTCAAGAATATTCGGAGCTTGGAAGCAAAGTGAAGGAATAAACGGGGCTTCACCTGTTTTCTGTGACTGTGTTTGCTTTGTATCCCATCCTGGGCCATCACACCTCCAGTGTTGGAGCACCCACGACTTCTGAAGGCAGGCGGTTCCACTGGTTGATTGTTCTCGCTGTTAGGAAATGCCTCCTTAATCCTAGATGGATCTCTCTTTGATAAGCGTCTATTTGTTACTTCTTCTCCTGCTCTGAGGTGCTTTGGAAAATAGGTTGACCCCCTTGGAGTTGTATTTTTAGCTCAAGATTGAACTGTGGGGTCCATGTTGCTCTCTGAACTTGGCAGTTTTCTTGCAGACATTTCATTACCCATCTAAGTAACATCATCAGTGCTACCAGGGAGTGGAGTTTGCTCTCTGTTTATACGCAAGTGATTTACCTGTCATGCCAATGGGAGTGTTCTTGGTGATGCCTTGATTAGGCTGTTATTTCCTTTTGGATTGCTTGTCTGAGCTGGTATTGTAGACAATGCTCCAATCAAGGAACTACCATAATCAAACAAAAGGTACATTAACAGCCTACTTAAGATACTACCACGAAGAAAACAACACTCCTGCCAACACTGACAGGGTAGCCACTTCTCTTTTAGCACGGATGAGGTTATCTACTTGGGTAATGAAACATCTGCAAGCAAACAAGCCAGCATCTAATTCCATTGGAATTGATGCAAAAGAAGCCAGATTATATCGTTGACATGGTAGCAATCTTCCATCAGCTATGGGCCTGCCCCAAAGAAGAGGGAGTCCTCCAAAGCACTTGAAGCAATGGATGAAAATTAACCAATCTAGAAACCAAGGATAAATTTCCTGATAGTTAGAACAACTGATCAGTGGAATGGCTTGTCTTCAGAATTTTGTGGGTGCTCCAAACACTGGAAGTTTTCAAGAGGAGATTGGATAACCATTTGCCCCAAATAGTGTAGGGTCTCCTGCTTGAGCAGGCGGTTGGACAAGTAGACCTACAAGGTCCCTTCCAACTCTGTTATTGTGATGATATTATTATTATATACTTTATTGATATGATGTTCTGAGTAGCAGTGTGTATTTTAACAAGATATTTTGTGGATACCAAGGATGCTGGCAGCAACCTGTATCAACCATTAGCACCAGTCACTGGTATTTGTGATATATTTTTAAATGTTCAGTTAACTAAATTTCATGTTTAATGAATAAAAGAGATAATAGCAACAACAACAATAATAACAATAACGTGTTATCCCAATTGTAATTGGAGCCCTTGGAGCAATACCTAAAGGGCTACCTTGCTATTTGGAAATTCTGAATTTATCAGACTGGAATACCCTGATTCTACAAAAAACCACCCTACTTGGAATGGCTCATATCCTCCGATGCTGTCTTAGCAGTTCCTAGGTCCTTGGTTAGGACTCGAGTTGTTGAACTATCAACCAGCCCCAAAGGCTGTGAATCTCACTAAAGATGCGAATAATGATGATGATAATGATAATATCATCATCATCACAATAACAGATTTGGAAGGTCTACTACTTGTAGGTCTACTACTACTACTACTACTACTATTACTACTACTACTATTATTAACATAGATCTACGAAAACGATCTCTGGTTTCTTTCAAACAACGCTTCCCAGTTTAGGGCAGTTTTATCAAATGGCTCTTGTGAAAACATTGGTTTGGTCATGGAGCCTTGCTTCTTGACCACATCCATGAAAACGATGCGTCATTTTATACAATGTCACCTTTGCAAGATGGAAGGGCTGGCTCTGTTGTGAGGTAGAAGAAGGAAACCATCTCAGGTAGCACAGGATGCGTGGAGATGGGCAGAAGATCTGCCTCTCCAAGGATTGAGAGCCATCCTTTTTTCCCTTCGAGGACAAAAAGGCGTGTTCTGATCCCCAAATTATCCTACCACCTCAGGTGTGTTGTAAGATGCTCTCCTGTTCCACATGTTGAAAGCCCACAAAATTCAGCCAGCTGCATTGCCCTTTTTTTTATCTCCTCAAGCAGAAACGTATTTTGAATCCAACCCTACAAAGTAGCTAAAAGTGAATACGTCTGTTCTGGCCCTCAAGACTTAACAATGCAACCCAACTGACCATCCAAGGTAAAAAAAATAAGTAGAGTGGAGCCGTTAGCAACGCCTTAATTGCATGCCAGACCAAGGTTCAAGATGCACAAACTTTCTGGGTGGTCCAACAGGCAGAGAAGAAAGGCCCTGGCCTAGTTTTTCCGAGAAGGCAGAGACAACTTAAAGGCAAGGCAGGCAGGAATTCATAATCTCCCCGTCACAACGGTGTTTTTTTTTTTTAAAAAAAACTTTCTGAGTGTTAACAGGTAGATACTTTCATCTTGGAAAGTCTAACTCGGAGGTGCCCAACCATGGCAACTTTAAGACTTATGGACTTCAACTCCCAGAATTCCCCATACCTGTTGTAGCTTCTATCCAAGCATAGCTGGCCGTAGTTAGCCTGCTAAAATGGGATACTTAGGAGTAACATTTTATTTATTTATTTAATTTTATTTATTTATTTAATTTTATGTATATATGTATGTATGTATTTATAGCAATAGCACTTAGACTTATATACCGCTTTACAGTGCTTTACAGCCTTCTCAAAGCAGGTTAACAGAGTCAGCCTATTCCCCCAATAATCTGGGTCCTCATTTTACCCACCTCGGAAGGATGGAAGGCTGAGTCAACCTTGAGCCTGGTGGGATTCGATCTGCCAAACTGCAGAAGGAGTAGCTTGCAGTACTGCACTCTAACCACTGCACCACTGAGGCCATGTATGTATGTATGTATGTATGTATGTATGTATGTATGTATTTATTTATTTATTTATTTGATTTATATTGCTGCCTATTCGCATGGTGACTCAAGGCAGCTTACAGAATATAAAACCACGTTTAAAACAGTAAAACTAATAAGGAGAATCAAATAAATTAATACAATAACACTGAACGTTTGCTCCCTAATAGACTAATCTATAGTACAGGTAGTTCTCCACTTACAATCATTCTGAGTCCACAATTACAATCGTCAGCTGTGATGTTTAAGCACGTCCCGATTTTAAGACCTTTTTTTGTGGCGTTTGTAAAGTGAATGTGGCAGACATTAGGCAGACGTGGTGGTTCTTAACCGAGCGCTGTGGTTATTAAGCAAACCCACTGCTGTCTAGGGGGCATTTTCCCCCTAGAAATCAGAAGTAAACACTGTGAGTAGGAGCCAGCGACCAAGTGCCCAAATTGTGGTCACCAGACTGGGGGTAGGAGTGGGGGGTGGACATCAGAACTTTGAATCCAGGTTGTAAGTCCTCTTTCCAGTTTTTGGTATAACTTCAAGTATTGTAGGAGATGAACAGGGTAAACCTGAGGGAGGAGTCAAATGCATCATAAGTCACGCATCCCCCTTCGCGCCTGCAAGAGTTCTAAGTCCAGCCCACCTTAAATGCCTTCCTTATCTCCCGCTCATTTCCCTTGACTGTTAGTTGGTCAGATTCTTGTAGAGAGCTTAAGCTTGCAATGAATCTTTCTACTGATTTGAACTGCCTGACTCTCCCCAGTACTTGACAAATAATCGCTAAGCAGCTGGTCATAAACTAAAGACTACCTGGATTCATTCAGTGTACCTGGAGCTTTCTTGAAATCTGGAGCTCATATTTTTTTTAACAGATGTACTTATTTAATTATTACTTTTTTTTTCTAAGAATGCAAGTTGGTCTCCTCTGCCCTTTAGCTTTTAATGGCACGATGTGACTCTCTCACGGGCTAGGCAGTTGAAACACCAAATGGGGATTTACAATTTATGTATTCTTGAATTTCTGAAACAGGGCACAGGCATGTCCAGCCTGTTCTAGGCCCAATTTCTCGGAGTCAGGTCTATTTGCTACTCCAACTTAGGCCCCGTTTCATGTTTCAGTGATGCAATACACCGCATCTATGTAGGAAGCTTCTGTTCTTAGTCACTTAAGGAAGGGTTGTAGTTTCTGGAGAGCACAGATTTATTGTGAGGCCTGACTGAACGCTGATGATTTGTGAGGTTAGGAAGATGGGGAGGAGGGCTGTTGCATCCTAGGCTGAGGTTGTTCACAAAATTGTGTAATCTGCAAAATCTAGCCAGCACTGTATCTTTAAATCAGCACAGCAATGATAATAAAAGACACTGAAGATAAAGACAGACCAGAAACCAGCAAACAAGGAAGTAAGCATTGTGTGTACCAACGCTGGGAGGAGGAGGAGGAGGAGGAGGAGGAGGAGGAGGAGGAGGAG